AAAAGGCATATTCCTCTTTCTATAATCTCAAAAGTTCATCAGCTTTCATGTCTTAGCTGAAAAAGAAGCAATGGAAGACTTATTTAACAGCATATTTTAGGGTTCCACAAACTCTCAGGAACACATTATATTTCCACTTAAGTTTCTTGGTTGCTTGCTGAGTGTTATCTCTGTTTACGAATTTCAGGAAGCAGAGTCGAACATCAAATTCTTAAATGACAGCCCAAACACCTCATTTAACCACAAGATTCACTCATATTGTGTCAACTATTGAGAGCAATTTACCCTGCCAGCTAAGTGCCCAACCTAAATGTCTTCTCTCCTTCAGTCAACAGATATTTTAGAACGACGGTGGTCCACGAATTCTGTTAGGACACAACATTGAAGGAGACGTGGTCTCTGCTGGCAGTTAACAATCGAGTGAAGAAGACCCATTAACAAATGAGGCAACATTCCAAGGGGTAGTCTAGAAGCACAGAGATATAATCGTCTGTTGGGGGAAGAGGCACCAGACAGGGACTGGAAAGCCTTTAGCAGGAATATTTCACAGGCTCACAAGTGGCTCCGGGATAGCAGTGTGGGGTGAGAAGAAAGCCCAAGCTTCAAGGCACACAGAGTTCGTAGCTCTGCTGAGTGCTGCTTCCTGGATAAGTAAGTTGGAGAAGGCACGTGCACTCTCCAGGCCTTAGTCTCCTTATCTGGGAAGTGTAAGTACTACCACCTACATCATAGGATTACTGTGAAGCTGGATAAAGTGATCTATGTAAAGCAGAATGCCTGGTACATAGCAGATGCCCAATAAATGTTTAATTCTCTACCTTTTTATTCCCTTGTGTAATCTATGTGAACTAACAGAAACGTATATATATAAGTATATATTAACCACAAGAACTACCAAACAACAACAAATCCATACATGGTCAGTATCATTTATTTTTATACAATAACTGCTATCCTAAATGTTAACCATTATATAGATCAATCTTTTATTCTCATCCCAAACTTCTCATAACACAAAAAGAAAATTAATCTTCAGAGAGCAGAGATTTTATTATTTTCAGGCCTTGTTGAAAATTTTTTCAATGACTATGCATTTATCTTGGCAAGATTTTAATAAAATTTTTAGCTCACTAATAGTTTTGATGAAGAAAATATATATTTATAAAGATGATTATACATATATCTCTACGACTATCCTATAGCCATTATTTAGTAGGGTTGGTAAAAATTAGTTTAATGGAAATTCTTTAATTTCTGTGTGATGACATTTCCTCACTAGTCAATTATTCCCTCTGAATTTTTTAGAAAGGCTTCCCAAGTAGTAATGGGGGGAGATTTTTCCTGTTGGGATCCAGTTTCTTTACATAATACTAACTACTCATCCTGAGCAAAGCTTTTCACAATCAAATTCCAACAACTTTTTATACATTATACCCGATTAGTCCTCTCCCCACACTACTGATTGCTTGCCAAACAACTCCTTCCAAACATTCCTTGCCCTTTCTTACCTCTATATTTTTTTTCCTCTATGCCATTCATTTTGCTTTAAATACCTTGCCTTCCTACCTTTAGCTAATCAAATCCTAGTCCATCTTCTACATCCAGCTCACACCCAAGCTCCACGGAGCTGACCCAGACCAGACCACTCTCTCCCACTCTATTCTGACCTCATTGCCTTGCCAACATCATGCTCATTGGTATACTGCTACTTTTGTTGTTATTGTTAATTGGCTAGAATACGGAAGCATTACGGCAGAAAATTTCAAAGTCTTATGTCAGCATAAATAGTAGTTAGCACAATCTGATTGGCTTCTTTCAACATTAAAACAGAAGGTATTTCTGAAAACTCAAGATGAATCAAACTACTGGCATAACTTCTTCCCCTATCGAGAATAATTCCATTGTGAAAAACATTATGAACAGCAATAGAATTATACAAATAAACTATCTCAGAATTTAAGCAGGTACCTACTATAAGCAGTTATATTAAATAATAATAATGTCTATACTTTAGTCAACAACTTATTTAACAAATTATTCACTGAGTCCCTAATTTGCACAAGGAACCACATTAAGACTCACTGGGGAAGGAGATGAATAGAAGCCTGACTAAGTCCTCAACACTCAATACTTGAATAGAGGAGACAGACTTAAAAACTTTTTATAAAACAAGTTAAATAAGCAATAACATATAGCTAACCTACTGAGTACTGTGTGTGATTAATTTCAATTGGTAGTGCTCAAGAGTCACTAGTCCGGAAAAAAAAAGGGTGTGTGTCGGGGGGAGATAGCATTTAAATAACACCTTGAGAGATGACTGAGATTTTGTAGACTGAGATGGCAGAAGGGAATCTGGACTATACAATCAGAAAAAGCACATTATAGAAACTAAAACCTACTCTCACTCTACTTTAGCGTCTCTTAGTAGGTGATCTAACTTACTACTTCACGAGAAAAAAAAAAAGGCCATTCCTTTCCTACATCTAAAACTATCTCTGTCTCTCCTATCTCAAAATTCTCCCCATTCTTTCTCAAAGCTAAATTCTCCAAATTGTTCTAGACCCTCCTGCTGCTTGCCTACTATCATATCTTATTCTGGTGCTCACCATCTCTTTCCTTCCTTTTGTGGCCAAATTTTCGAAAGAATGGTCTATATTTGTTATCTCTATTTCCTAATTCACTACTCAGTTATATAAAGTTAACTGCCTCTTAAGTCTGTTTCATTTAGTGAAATAAAATAAGGATTTCCTTTCTGCTTTCCTTCTTTCTTTGTTTTAAAATAAGTTAACCAATATTTCTTTTTAAAATTTATTTGCTATATTCAGGGAACAGAGAATGAACAGTCTCTGAATAGAATTTCTCATGGCTAGAAAGTAAACTATTTAACAGCTGAGACTCTGTGTAAGTGTTTTCAGTATAGAACCTGTTACTGTAGTGATCAATGAGAATTCTGAACCTTAAACATGTTGTTCTCTCAACGTATCTCTCCCTAACTCAGAGCTCTTTATAGTTCTTTAGATAAGAATGGGTAGGGTATACAAGTCATCGTCTTAGGCAACATAAAAGAGGCACTTTTAAGGAAATTACTGCATACAAGCTGGGCCCTTAATGTCTTTTAGGAGACCTAGGTAAGGTAAGGTTTGGCATCCTGACACTGTACTGACATGGCAAGAGAAACATCTCAGTCCAATCTCTGATTCACATTCAGTTCTCTGGCAGTTTCATTTACTAGAGAAATAATGGCTAAGATAGTCTCTCCTCTTACATACAGTACATAGTCAGACCTCTATAACTTACTTTGTTCACCTCTCTTGCCTTCAAAGCCAAATTCATCAGCACCCACTACCCATCTACACTGATTTCAAAAATACAAAGAATCATCCGTAGGTTATATACACATAAGTCTTTTCATGGACATTGAGTGTTCTACATATTATTCCATGAACTATTGGGCAATACACAGATCTCAGCTCATCTTTTCAGATTTGCTTTGTAATGAACACTTCAGTCCACTAAGCAATCCTATTATCTCCCTTTATCTTTCAAAAATAAATTTATCCTCCATACACCCCACTTTTTAAAAATCGTTCTCCTTAAAGCAGATAAAGATCTGTATCATAAACTTCTCTCTTGTCCTAAAGAACAGAGTTTACAGAGCTACAAAACGCACTGGATATTAGAGAAATTCCATAAATATTTGTCAATAGGCTGATTTATATTTAACAATATTAAGGTCACCAAATAAATGTTTTGACTTAAGATCAAACAGAAAATTTCAGGTCTACCTTTTCAGACTCCTTGTAGGGTCAAGACCACAAATGGAGACCTACATTCCATATGTCTAAGTATTCAAAAGTTATAAATCAAGTTAAACTATTAAACAAAATATGGTCTCTTCCTCCAGTCTTGACAAGTATACCTTTAACCACCTGGAGGTAAAGGTACAAATTTCGAATTTTTAGACTCCTCGAAGTTCCACACTACCATGTGGTGACATGAAAGAGCCAGCCCACACCCTTTTCTTCACATTCCCCAGTTCAATCAATACCTTGAGGGGCCTTGCACACATGTGTGGACATCTTACCCATCTCAAACCACTGCCCCTTAGCCGCTCTTCAGGCTAAGGCTACTGGTTTTATCGGGACCCAGAGTATGGGAGTGGGCAGAGCTTGGGGTTAAGTTGGGCACCCCTCTTAGCCCTTCAGAGCCCTCATCTGTGGGGAAGTGTGGCCAGAGTAGACTCTCTAACTCACAGGTCCAAAAGCAGGGCCTCTCCTGCCCAGAACTAAAGGTAATACAAACTGGGCAGTTTACCAAAATGGAGAATTTACCAGATCAGTTTGTTACTAGTTAATTTACTAGTTGAAAATAAATATGTAAAAAGAAGATTAAGCAGTAAAATATGAGATTCCAATCTCTAATAACTTCAGTTCCCTCAAGATATATAATTGAAGGGTCTAATATTTATTGGATCTACTTTACAGACTAAATCTAGATCCTGTCCTTTCTTTATAAATTCATACTAATTTACAGAATTCTACTCACATGCTAGAGGGAGTTAAGAGGACAAGAAGGAGCAGAAGAAAGAGAGGAAGGAGAACAATGAGTATCAAAGACAAAAATCAGACATTCAGGTCTAAAAGGAGACATTTCCCTTGTGTTTTCTCACCTGTGCAGAGAAGCATATCATGCTATGATTATAACCATCTGATCAAAGCCGCGAGTATCATGGCTTGTTCTTACTAATGCACAGATTTATGTAGTTCACTAGTTGGCCTCATAATGCCCCTATTCTAGGCACTGTGTACATTGTAAGTCAAGCTGCATCTCGTGGGCATTTAAGTTGAGACTCTCCCTACACCTCACCATAATTTGCTGCACTGTAATTTCCACTTAGCAAGAAAATTAATTTGCAAATAATTCTCATCACAATACATATATATATATACTCCACAGGAAGGGAAGTATTTCAACTGGAAATCTTATTTATGCGTACTTACTGAGATTGTACCATTGTCTAGACCTATGGACAGTCTTCTTGTTTCCGGGTTAAAAGACATGCATGAACATGGAGCTGAAAGAAATGAACATGTTGATGAAATTAACAAAATGATGATTCTCACGATTCAGGAGTGACTAGCTAAAAGTGTGTGGCTATTTTTTCACCATTATTTCCTGAAAAACAGTTCATTTAACTCCCACTCACCAAAAATTAAAATAGTCATTTTACAACTAACCCCTAGTTTTTTGGCTTTCCTTTTAATGAATATAATAAATAAGATATTCTCAAACTAGACAAGTTCCAAGGGGTTGGTCTCAGCTATTATGTCAGTATCAAGTCTAAATTTGCTTGACTAGATTAACAATATTTTATGCTGTGCAATCCTTTTGTCACCAATCGCCCTTCCACTCAAACTCCATCTTTAATAGAAATAATCTATCTTTTCTGAACTAGGGAAACAAAAGATCTTATTACACCCCCTTCATTCGCACACTAGTACAGAAATCTATTTTTTGATTCAGAATTGATTTGGGGCATGAAGATGAACAGAAGTCTTTTATTCTCAGCATTCAAGGGATATGCTGGTGGCTGCTAATTGAAAATGACTGAGGATTTGTCTTGATGTAAAAGAGAACTTGACACTGGGCCAGCCAGGCTCTACAGGAAAGAAAACAAGTGAGTCAGTTTACTCAGTCCTGGACAGGGCCTCCCTGTTCTACAAGACCGATCTGAGCCTAAGTAAATTAAGCACACTTGGAAGCCTCCTGTGGCCAAGTACTTGTTAGTAAGAATGGGGGCCTTTTGACAATTTATCCTATACCGAAATAGTTGTTCTAAAGAGTCAGCGCAATTTTTTAAAATGTCCCCCTATCTTCACAGTAGCCCTATAAATCACAAACTACTCATCATTATAATCAGCATCAGATATTTTTATTCCTACTTTTCACAGTTATCATTAGATGTCTTACCCAAGGTCACACAAGAAGAAAGTTGGAAAAGGTTCAGAGATATAATTCAAATACACGGTGTCCTATTTTCAAACATCTAACAGATTATCTTTAAACTATGAAAGAACCTCAAGTTCTACAACACAGCCACTTCATAAACACATCTTAGTAATATTTTTTTCATTCTCTATAAAAGGGCCCTGAATAACAACAAAAAAGATCTTCTAAACTGTATAAAGTTTTTACTTTTTTCTAATTTTCAGTCATGATATATTTAGAAAACGGAAACAGAAAAAATAATTTTCTCCCAAAACTTCTACCAGTGCAGAATATCTTCTTTTAGTTTAGCCACAAAAATAAACTAGATTCCCAAAAGAACATTGCTGGAAAAAAGCAATCAAATGATATTTAATGTACTACCCTACGAAAGCCAGTCTTACGGGCCCTTGCCCTATAAACTGTGTTGGCAAAATTTCTACACAGATGCTAAGATGCCGGCCAGGTCTCATAACATGTGTATAAAATTAAAATCTAATGATTCCATGGAAAATTATGCTAGCTGAAAAAAAACACATAAAAAATACATTATGCTTAGAACTACGTAAAGTACACACACACATAAAAATATGCATGGAAAAACAAAACGTAGTTGTGTTCAAATGATAAGATTATTCCTATAACATTGTCTTTATTTATTATTTTGCTATTCCTGTTAAAATTTTTAAATATCTAATGATTTATTAAGATATAAGCATGACCATATAAAGCAAAACTTGATTGCAGCACAAAAGACTACAGGCTAGTCAAGAACAAACTTATTGCTTAGCGGCCTGCCTGATCATGTGATTTCCTCCAATGTTTATATCTAGTTCTATAACAGTTAGAAAACCCACTGATCTTACTGATCTTTAAATGTGATTTAAAAGACATTTTTATAATACTGCACAGGCTACCCTTAAATCTACATCACAATTTCTTTATTCATTATTTTCCCCCCCCATTTACTAAATGTGTTATTTTCTCAATGAAAATTTACAATGCTGACAATGTTCTAGGCATGTGGTACAATAACATATAAAGCATATAGCTGTTATTAAGGAATTTAGATTGTGACACCAACTCTAAGTTCTTATATAAGAACTATAAGACTTAGACCAATGTTACCTTCTTAGTTCAATCACTTTATATTGATAGTAAGAAATGCCACCAGAATTCAAAAGAAAAAGACTTTTCCTATAAAGGACCATAAACAAAAAATATTTAACAGAAATTCTGTTGTTCTAGAACCCATATGCTTGAACACAAGATAGTTACAGACAGAGGAATGCTAGAGCTAGAGAGCAATACCTCCCAGGTGCCTCTAAAGGTGCAAACACTCCTTCAAAGAGGCATTATGGTAAAGCACCAAGCAGTGTGTGTGTGTGCATGCGTGCGTGCGTGCGTGTGTGTGTGTGTGTGTGTGTGTGTGTAGTAGTAAGACTTTTGGTGTGTGAGCCTTAACTGTGACACTCCCGCAAGAGTAGGCCCTGGGTTGTTACCCATAGCCCCTTCAGGGCCAACGAGGCAGGGAATGAATTGAAAAGAATATCTATGCCCCTATTTGTTACTACTGTAAATGTCTTTCCTTTGGGGGGTCAGGGGAGTAGACAGACTGACACAGAGATCTTCTAAATTGAACTCACTAGAAATTAACAAAAAAGCAACCCCTGACAATCTGGTGATGGCCAGAGGGGAGGAAGGCTGCAGGAGAAAGAGGTGAAGGGTTAAAGAAGTACAAATTAGTAGTTGAGAGATGGTCTCAGGGATGGGGAGCGCGGCAAAGGGAATGCAGTAATGTAATGGCTAGGTGTAGAGCCAGAGGACAGACAGAGTAATTGGGGAAACAGTTTCATAAACTATATAAATATCTAACCAATGTACTATATACTTGAGATTAATAATAAAATAAATAAAATAATAATAAAAAAAAGCAACCTCTGAAAGACTAGCGCTATGGCCCATACAAAATGGCTCCTATCCATCCATGCAAGAAAATGTCAGAGGCAAAATTGCCCAGGTAAAAATAAGACATCGTAGAGCAATGTTAATTATGGCCAGTGGTAAAGGGGATCCTTCAGTAGGAAGAACAAGAGAGAAAATATACAAAATATGATTTAAGCACAATTTTGCAACTATGGTGCAAAAACGTGATATTTCACAAAGAAGATTTCAGCTTTAAATTCTGTAAAAAGAATGATTCATAAGTCAATAAAAAAATAATGGTGTCTTTGATGGCTGAAAGTTCAGGTTAGAGATGAACTGCTTGAGAGACTATTCTGTTTTCCTACCTTAAAATTGTATTCTCCAGAGGCTGAGCAAAGAGGCTGACCAGAACTATAAAATTATAATACAGCTCATACTCTTTGAGTATCAAAACTGCATCCCTGAACTCGAGATGAAGTATATAACAAGATACAAACCTGAAAGCATATTTATTCCCCACCACCTTAAACTGTTTTCCCATGAGAAAGGAAAACCACCTGAGTAATTTTTGTGGGGTGACCCTCATTTCTCAAGGCCTCATACAGATATCGTGTGTCAAAATTTATGACAAACTGTAACCTGGACAGGAAATGGGAGGGCCTATGGGAGGAGCTCTCATATCCTGTGTAGGTAGAAAAGCCATACACTACAGGAATAAATCTATGTTTAGAGCAGAGCTCTATGGTTTTAATAGCACCTCCCCTTAACTTCCTCTTCCCCTCTGTAAAATAGGGGCTTCCTGCTTCTTCTTGCAATGTGTGTGTGTGGGTCACTATGGATGCATGTAATGGACTGCAATTCTTTCTTTCTCCTGAATAAATCCTTTTTGGTGATGGACTACCTGGCTGACTTTTGTTTACAGTCGACACATGCTACATGTAGTTTGCCCGAGACTGCTCCTACACACACCCAGTAACAAATTCAGGGCCTTGCTATGAGTCTTGTTGATATTATATTCTATTTTCTCCCTAATGTTTTCATTGAAATCTAGGGAAAAACTGACCACAATTTCACAATAAAAGAGTATAAGAACTCATTTTCCACACTATCTGATTAAGATTTGCCATCGCCCTTCTCTGTCTCAGATTGACGACAAAAGAAGTGTATTTGGAAAAATTTTAGGAAGCAAGATAATAAAAGGTAAAAATAAGATAGAAAAGAAATTTGTGCAGGATTATGGGTAATGGGAAATAATATTCTCTTTAGACCTTGATGGCCTGTCAAAATTTTATCTTTAAAAGTAAATACTTTTACAATACTGAGTGTTTTATTTTTTAAATGAAATCTTTGTAGGAACAGGCAGGTATTCAGCTTAAAAGTTAGAAAAAAAATAAGGAGAAACTCCAGCCTGGGTGATTATATTAATGACCAGGTAATTTGAAGGGAGAAAAGCTCAAGTGATATAAATCTAGACAAAGGGAATTCAAGAGATCAACATCAACTTCAACAGCCAATAATTAAGTGGATTAGAGAGAAACTGGCCATCTGTACTTCTAATACTTTTATTCCATACATGGTCTTAAAAAATATTGCTCTTGCTTTTAAAAAAATGTAGATAAGAGGCGGCATTCTAGAAATACTTCTATTTGGGGGCAGTTTCCTAATTTCTATTATTTATACTTGTAATTCTTTCATTTTATGACTAATTTATTTTCTGTGCTTTGGTGAGGGTGAACTTTGCTCAAATAAACACAAGTTTCACTGAAGGGTAAGCCCTAGACTTCAATCACACTGATTGCTTTACAATGCTAAAGGCATTATTTAGCAGGAGACAGTAACCTTCAGGGGATGTGCTGGTGGGAACTTTAAAACTAAATAAACAACAGTACTTCCGTGAAAAAATAAATCTTCAGTTGTTAAATCATCCTGGAGTAGGTAAATGGCAGGATCCTACAGAAGAGGGCTTTGAATACAGAGCCTTCAAAGAGCATCCCACCACCGTAAGCAAAGATTTAATTTACTGACATCATTTCATTCTGCCCTGTTTGTCACTTGATAATATTTATTATGTTTAAAATATTTAACTCATGTTTTATTAGGAACACTTGTATTTAGGACTTGTATTTAGGACTTCAAGCATTAAAAAGAATTTTTCATTTAAAT